TCAGCAGACCATTGGTGTCCCACGTTTATCCTTTTTTGCAGATTTAACAGCACTGCTAGTCTCTGGAGCTATCAGCCCTTGCAAAGCTTTCTCACACCACCTTCTCAGCATGCATTTTTCCTGTCTTCAGCCTCTTCAGCCTCCATCCTGCAGAGCCCACTCACACGGACTCACTTATGCCACACAGACACCAGATCCCGCACGGTTAAGGCTCAGTACTCCAACTGGCAGAGCACACGGCAGGGACGAGGTCGGTCTCCCACAGACCACCAAACCAGAGCCAACTGGCCATCCTGCTCCTCACCCTGCTATCTATAACTCACAGGCAGAAAAAAAGACTCCAGGATGTAGAACTTCTGTGGCTCGTAACAAAGTACACTTTCAGCTTCTACAAATCAGAAATCGTGGTTTTCTAACTTTTATGCCAACAGTTAAACCTCATTCCTAGGGAATAAAGGTAATATGCTTTTGGCTTAGCAACGTGGTTGGTTGGAAGTGATCTCAATCTGGCTAAATTTTTTTTCTGTACATAGTAAACAATACCTTACATGTATCTGTATATTTTTTGTATACATATATTTCTTTTTTTATAGGTATTTTTAAATATATGTATGTGTGTGTATATACATAGCAACTGAAAGAAGCAATGTTCTAAAGCAAAGAAAATGTTACTTGGAATAAAAAAAGGTGTAAAGGGAGGGATATGAACTAAATAATATTTTTTTGCAGGCCCAGAAAGACTGTCCTGTAAATACAAGGTTTGAGATTAGCTTATACGCTATGCTAAGGAAGAACCAGCAACTTTTTTAAACATAAAAGGAACAGAACTACATACTAAAATTTTTAAATCCTCAAATGTGAATAAATTATATGCCAAGAAAGTAAATCTTTAATATTATTGTAAAGAGATGGGCATGGTATTCTCAGAGATACTTATATAATTTAAAAATACTCATTTTAATCCAAGAGACCTGCCAGACAGCTGCTGAGCTATCTGTGCTGGGATGGTGTAAGTAATTATAGGCTGCTGGCAACCAATTACAGGCTGCTGAAGGGCTAATACAAAGAGTTTGAGAGTGAAGAACAGAAACAGAATTTGTGCCAAATGACACATTTTAATGGGAAAGAGACTGTTATATTCATTCACTTTTGGCAACCTCAGCAAGGAACTATCCTGTTGATGACGATTACTGCATTTAGAGAGTCCCAAATTTATTACATCAAGTATTTAACTAAAAGTAATTCACTTAAAGCCCATACAAAATGAACAGGATTAAGTTTATCTTCTACTCAGCAAATCAACACAGCTACATTAAAAAGCCAAGGAGGCTGAGAGGTATCAAAGCATAAGCATAAATTAAAAATTGTTTAAAAAATAGCTAATTCTAGGTTTTAGACTAAACTTATTTGCTGTCTTTAGTAACAGTCTTCAACGAAAGGTAGAAATGTTGCTTATCCTGTTTACCCACTTGATTTTGTGCAAACGTTGGCTAGTAACAGAAAGCATCAAGCTGAGCCTGTACACTGGGCACAGGAAAACACGTATTTGGGCGCCCTACACTGCGAGCCCTAAAGCACATACTCAGTTTGAGCACGTACAGCCCCCTCCACGTTCAGCAAAGCATCGAGCTCTTCCTGCACTGAAGGATGCTACGAGAGCTGCTTTTTTTCAGGGCTGCAGTAACAGCAGCTGCTTTAAAACACTCTTTGGTTATTTATTCTGCCTGTTTCTCAAAGGTTGTTACTCCATGAGCCATGAAAAATCAGAACAGCAGCTCTGGAAGGACTCACTACAGAAAAGAGAGGGGAAAGAGAGAGGCAGGGCAGATTAAGGAGTAGGGCTGAATATCAGGAGCCAGCCCAGGAGTGTCGGCTACGCAGAGGCTCAGTGGTGCCACGGCAGACCAGCAGATCCAGCAGTAGGAGATGGGTACTCACCAAATCAAGGAACGCTTTTCTTTCCAAGTCGAGCGTTTGGACGCGTGCTCGCAGTGCCAGAATTTCCTTGTCCAGTCTGCTGTTGTGCTCCATGGCCTTCTGTAGCTCAGTCCTGTCTGCGCAGAACACAACAAACGGGTCACCAACACAGGTTTGGACCTCGACCTCCACCAAGCTCAGAGGGGGGCTATCACATGAATAAGGTTTCTGAAATTGCATTGCCCTTATGGACAGGTGTATGTGTGCCACAGCACAGAGGGGAGCTCCCCACACACATGGGAACACATTCTATTACTTGCATAGTAGAGGTTTATGTTTCTGGAGATCCAGATTCAATAGCAGCGCTGTTTATTATAGGAGCACAGGAGTCTCTCCACAGTTATTCCAGGGATTCAGTTTACCCCTAGATCATGGAAAATGCCTCACCTCAGATATTTAGGTATGAGTTTCATAAACAACTAGGCTAAGCTTTGAAAAACCCAAACAGCCATATTTCTTATTTTCATCATAAAAACTGTGATTTGCTACAAGCAGAAACACAATCGCAGTTAACCTATCAGTGTTGTGCCAGCATTAGTATTTATGAAATGGCCAGTACAGTAAAAATTATGGTTGTACCCCAACCCCTCAAGTCTGAATCAATAAACATATGCAACCCTCACACCAATTAATGCAGACTATCTAGTATTTCAAATGCAAGAAACAGGAAAAAGTGTTTGCATCTGGAGCACATTGACAGAAACGTGTCTGAGTATACACTGGTATCCTAATAAAAACCAGTGAGAAGGTTTTTTTCCCCTTTTCAGCTTAATGCTGGGCACAGGAAATTTCAGCTTGAACTTGACTTTTATTCAGGCAAAAATAAAAACATATCTTCTTTCTTGGTCACAATCTGGCAAAAAACCAAAACCATAACCCACAAAAAACCCACAACCCTAAACCCCTGTTTCAAACGAGGAGTTTGACATTGGATTTTCTGTTTTGTAATTTAAAATAAAAGGTAAGGAACACCTTCTACTAAAGTGTTCATTTTGCTGAAAAGCCTATTTACCACTACGGAAAGCCTTGATAAAATTCTGGGTCTTCTCTGCTTGCCAATAGCATGACTTACCACTCTCTCTCCATTCGTTCACCCCTTCTTCCCGGCTCTCGGGTGCTTGCAAGGCTGGCGATGAGGCAGATTCTACAAGGATAACAGAGACAGTTTCGCTGTGGCAGTCCGTTTGTACGCTTCTGAACACTAAACCCTGCAATATTTTTTATGCACTTTGTTAAATACAGAGTTGAAGGAAAACTAAAGAAAAAAAAATTAAAGCAGCAGACAACTAGCCACACAATTTAAAATCTCTAATCACCAAAGACGCAATAACTGGGCTACAAATGGTCAGCCACAATCTTTTATTTTCTCTTCAATGCAAGCACGCAGCTGCAAGTTATCATTGAACGAAAATACACTGTTTAAGTGGAGTTTTACTAAAGATCAGAGATTTCATTTTAGGTTTGTATTAGAAAATCAATTTATTTACAGAGCAGTTGGCTCTGAAGCTCATCGGGAGGAGAAGGCATGCAGATATACATCATCCGGGAAGCCACTAAGGTGTTATAACGCTAATCTTGCACGCTAATACTCACGGCATAATAAACCACACAGACATAACAAGCATTAAACCCTTACTCACAGTTTGGAAAGCCTTATATTCATTTGATACTTAAGGAGATTATAAAACACAGATCTCCCCACGCAGGCTGCGATCCACTGAGAAGAGTCGCACACTGCAGCCTGTCCGTGATCTGGAGAAGCAGTACTGTTTGGAGGCTGCAACACAACGCTCGCTCCATCCCCAGGGACGCACGTGTATCAATCGATACGCAAAGCAGATGCCCGCAGAGTGCTCATTTCCCTGCTTTTATTAAAAGGCTGTAAACGATGGGTTTGGAGGCTGGCTAGAAGGTTTAGCTAGGTCTGAGCGTTGTGCATGAGCTGCAAGGTCAGCATCAGGACCTGCGATTCACACATAAACCCCACACAGGTGGTACCAGCCCCCTTAAGTGAGTCAGTCTCTGCAAAGGCACATGGGGCAGGAACATGTTATCTCCTCACATTTTGCTGTTCTCCACTGAAATTCTGCATCACAGGTTTTGGGACAATGTAAGTAATCCAGAGAAAAAGCATCCAGAAACCAGTGTTTTGCTCAAGACATCTCCTGTAGGAGGTAGCAGTGGAGCACCTGGCTTTCAGGACCACTCCAATAGGAGCTTTATCAAGTAGTTTCATTCCCCTACAGAAAACTGTTTATTTTTACAGTCAGTATTTTAAAAAATTTTTATACTTAAGGGCTGGTCAACAACAGTTACTGAAATAAGGAGGTTATGCAAATATTAGCAGTGATGAGAATCTAACCAGTCACTTCAAGACTGCTGATAAGCTCCAGTTATGAGCACTTGCTAACAACTCATAATGAGGTAGCATCCCAAACATAGCATCTGAAGAACCTCGAGATGAGCAGTCCAGCCATACTAACACTGTGTACACAGTATTTTAGCTGTTCTGTTTCGGGACAAAGTCACCATTTCCTCTCCAACCCCTCCTAGGGCATGAATTTCTCCCTATATATGAGCCAGGGAGAAGTCAGTCAAGACACTGCTGCTGTAATCATGGATCAGATAACCCCATGTCTCAGCCTTCCCCATCAGAATTAATTGATTTCTGACTGTTAACAACTGCATTCAGACCTCCTAGGTACCAGGCTAATATCTGACTCTGACTGTTCCACATTACAAGCAGACGGGACACAGGACAGCCTGCCTCCAACTCCCCTGGGCGAGATGTTCAAGGCTTACGCTAACCAGGGTGGGTTAAGTGCAGCCCAGTAATTAGGAATGGCCACAAAAGAAGTGCTTACCTATTTTGCTTTGCTCCCGTCTTAGCTCATCCAGCTCGTCCGTCAACCTCCGGATCTCTTCCTGGGCCATCAGCAGCCTCTGTGTGGCCTCATCCAGATCTCGTTCAACTCTTGCATGTGATGCTTGTTCCCTCTCCAGCTCCTCCCTGTAGGACTGAAACACAAGGGCTAATGCTCCAACAGAAACAAGAGAACCCTCCCAGTGATGTGACCAAGGCAGGTCCCCCGCGGCACTACTCCTGACCCACCAGAACAAGAGTGGCAACACAAACAGAAAGCAGGCAAACTCAGGGAGGCTGCTGCAGAGGCAGAAGACAGACATGCAGTGGATAACCCTCTTCACCATGTTCACATGCCAAAAAGCAGGTGCTGAACAGCATGCCGTGGCTGTTGCCCTACACAAGGCTCTGTTTTTCCCTTCCTGAGACAATGCTATTAAGATACATTTTCAAACACATAACATATAAGTGTCTTCCAAGCAGAGGGCTCCACCACACCCCATGAGAGTCTGCTCCAAGGCCAAGTCAATTGTGGTCCCATGGCTGTTGTGAGAGCTAGCCCCAAGCCAGCCTGGCACCACTAAGTCTTGCTCCTAGAGTGCAAGAGCCAGAGACTCTCCTGCTGACCTGGGATTCTGCAGAAAAGTCATTTCAGCTGATATAAAAAGCTATTTCTCACCCCTTTGACTTTGGTCCACTCATCTCCAATGACATCTTTGACATACCAAAGGCAGGCAAGTGCTTACAAGCTAGCCCTGACCCAAAGCTGGCGAGATGCTAACCCTGGCTCTCAGCAGAAGCAAGTAACTCGTGTGTAGCACAAGGCTGTTGTGGTTGCACAGCCTGAAGTTCAGAGCTTGCTCACATCTCATCAGCTAAAAGCAATAAAAAACCTCACAGCATGCTTAAGAACAGACCCGTTGCTTTAAATCTCAGCTATGTGCCAAGTCATCAGCAAGAAAATGTGCAAGTGTATTACCTTATTCCTTGTCTCTCCAGTAAGCTGTGTGGATTCATGCTGCTCTTGGAGTTCATCTTCTAATGTCTGATGAATGTGATCAAACTCATCCTTGCGCAGAAAGAGATTTTAAAAAATCAACACCACGAGAACGCATGCGGCCATGTATCCCTCAACACCACTGTGTAGGATTTTCAGTTTCAACATATCTTGATTAGAAGGCGTTTTGTAACCATACTTTATACTCTTAAAATATAAGGAGAACATTTCAACCAGAGTTACCCCAAATCCTTGTGAAAATCCCTCAGTTGTCTCAACTAGTACTGGGAATCCTGTGGGTTCACTACTTTTTTTAAAAAAAAAACTGTGATCTCCTTGGTATCTTCCTTTTAGAGCCTGTATGAGGTTTAGTAAGGCCAAGTGCTGG